AACGAATCACTTAACAGTTTCGTACAGTAATGACTGGTAATTGCCACGAAAGTCCCCAGTAAGTGAACTGGGGGGGTGTAATCTTTGTTAATGATGCCATTAAGTTCCTGTAATGAGTGCCAGTGACTAGCTTGGAAAGAGTAGAGTATAAGCGGAGAAAGTGAACATAACATGGGGTGAAAAAGACCCGTAACCCGGTTACGGCCTAAAAGACCCAGGGAGCCGGTCGGCCGAGCGGACAGCACGCTGGGCTTGTGATCCTGTGGTCCTGGGTTCGATCCCAGGCGCCGGCGAAAAACATTGGGCAGTTTCTTTCACCCTATGCCCCTGTTACCTAGCAGTAAAATAGGTACCTGGGTGTTAGTCAGCTATCACGGGCTGCTTCCTGGGGGTGGAGGCCTGGTCGAGGACCGGGCCGCGGGGACACTAAGCCCCGAAATCATTTCAAGATAATCTCCAGAAGGGTCAAGGCCCACGCCGCTTTCACTCCAACCAGTCCTCTTAAAAATAACGTCCCTTTTGGCTCGTATGCGCGGCGCTATGGCCAAAAGTGGACGTAATTTGAAATGAAATCGACTCACAAAAGTGATGTACCGTCCCGTTTTCTGTTTGAGTCGTCCGGCTTACTCGGTAAAGTTAGGAGAGGAAACTTATCAATTAAAGTTTTTCATAATGTTTTGAAACTTTATGAGAATTTCCTGCCCACCTAACCTATCAGATGACCCTTAACTTACTGTTCTTGAAAAAAAAATCCCAAATTTTCATTTTCAAATTACGTCCACTTTCGGCCATACGGGCAAGACCCTGGAAACACAAACCGTAACTGTCTCTATTTTCCGCTTGTTACAACTTGTAATAAAGTTGTTACATCTTGGCTTAACGTGTTTATGACGTATTAAAACGTTGTTACAACTTGCTATATTGGTTGTTATAACTGGTTAGGTGGTGTTAAAACTTGTTCGAACGTTGTACCAACGTCGTAGTTTCGGTGTGTGTTTGGCGGGGAGCGACGTTATTTTTAAGAGGACAGGTTGTGGTAAGAACTGCCACTTCTCTGTGACATTTACGCAATATATTGCCCTGCACCAGCCACAGTGCTGTAGCCACATGCTGTGAGTATGGCCCCGAGCAGCCTCGTGTCCCCCGAAGACTGTGCTCACCAGCGGGCCAACAACAATCACCGGTCAACCTGTCCTCTTTAAAAGAACGTCGCTTTTGGCCGTTTGCCAGTATGGCTGAATTTGGACGTAATTTGAAATTGAAAAAAAAATGAAAATAAATTTGGGATTTTTTTGTCAACAACAGTACTAGTAAGTTAAGGGTCCTCTGATAGGTTAGGTGGGCAGGAAATTCTCATAAAGTTTCAAAACGTTATGAAAAACGTTAATTTAAAGTGTCCTCTCCTAACCTCTGCGCGTACGCCGGACGACTCAAACAGAAAACGGAACAGAACGTCACTTTTGTGAGTCGATTTCATTTCAAATTACGTCCAAATTTGGCCATAGTGCCGCGCATACCAGCCAAAAGTGACGTTATTTTTAAGAGAACGGGTTGCAATATGACGCTGGCCTAATGTGAGAGAGGCGTATAGCTACCCGCTCCCTGAGAGATGACGGGGGAATATACTGCTTAAATTCGCATCTCTGCTCCACCACACTACACCGGATCACAAACACCAGGGACCAGATTCATGAAAGCACTTACGCAAGCACTTACGAACGTGTACATCTTTCCTCAATCTTTGACGGCTTTGGTTCCATTTATTAAACAGTTTGCAAACATGAAAACTTGCCAATCAACTGTTGTTATTGTTATAAACAGCCTCCTGGTGCTTCGGAGCTCATTAACTGTTTAATAATTGTAAACAAAGCCGCCAAAGATTAAGAAAAGATGAACAGGTTCGTAAGTGCTTTCGTGAATCTGGCCCCAGGTCTCCCAGGCGATGCTTCACGACTGTCGCCTCGAGCAATGCTGTCATGCTCCGTACAGCTCTCATCCGGCTCAAAGCGACGCTTTTATCTTCCGTAGAGCCCAGATCTGCCCCCCTGCGGCTCCTATTGGCCCAATGCTCTCTCCCCCCCCCCTTCGTTCTGGACTATATATATATATATTTTTTTTTTTTTTTTTTTGAGATATATACAAGAGTTGTTACATTCTTGTAGAGCCACTAGTACGCGTAGCGTTTCGGGCAAGTCCTTAATCCTATGGTCCCTGGAATACGATCCCCGCCGCGAAGAATCGTTGTTACAACCAAGTACACATTTTACTGTTGCGTTAAACAGAGGCTACAGTTAAGGAATTGCGCCCAGTAAATCCTCCCCCGCCAGGATTCGAACCCATGACATAGCGCTCGCGGAACGCCAGGCGAGTGTCTTACCACTACACCACGGAGACTGTTTTGACTATAAGGTACGCAATTTGTGTCACAAGCCGTCACTACGAGCTGAGGTCTTTGACGCTGCTTCCCCGCTCTGTCAATCACACTGATCTGTAAACATAATCCTTTTTAGCAGTCTTTTCGTGATTTATTAAAGAAAATGGAGAGTCGCGCGACCAAGGCAGCAGTGTGCTTCCTTGGATATCTTATCGAGCCGCATATTTATTTGAGAATATTTATATATAATTAAGGAATATGTTTAATTCAATACTCTGGAGACAAATTACAACACTATCTCAGTGAGAAGCCTATGAAATGAGGAAATTTTAGAAGACTTCTTGGCACAAGTGAGGCAGCTTTCATATACATGCGACCAAACACATCGGTCAAGGAGAATGTGTGTGTGTGTGTGTACTCACCTAGTTGTACTCACCTAGTTGTGCTTGCGGGGGTTGAGCTCTGCCTCTTTGGTCCCGCCTCTCAACTGTCAATCAACAGGTGTACAGGTTCCTGAGCCTATTGGGCTCTATCATGTGTGTGTGTGTGTGTGTGTGTGTGTGTGTGTGTGTGTGTGTCTATAAGGATAGAGACCAGCCACTTGGGACAATCTTCTTCATTGAGATGATTTCGGGGCTTAGCGTCCCCGCGGCCCGGTCCTCGACTAGGCCTCCTTATTTGTTACACCCCCCCCCCCCCAGGAAGCAGCCCATAGCAGCTGTCTAACTCCCAGGTACCTATTTACTGCTAGGGTAACAGGGGGCATTAGGGTGAAAGAAACTATGCCCATTTGTTTCCGCCTCCACTGGGGATCGAACCCGAACCCCAGGATTACAAATCCGAAGCGCTGTCCACTCAGCCGTCAAGCCCCTGGCAGCCTCATTAATGTTTACAGGATCAAGGGAGAAAGAGCATGTGTGTGGGAGGAGATGGGGAGGAGTATTGGTAGATGGGGAGGATGTTGGGGTGAAGTATAGATGCTACCAAGATGTTATCCAGTAATTAATTCAATAAATCAACAAACCTATTTCTTAACCAGTATTTACCCAGGTATTTCTTGACTGTAAACTTGCGTAATTTACAGGAACTGTATGATGTGAGAACGCTCCCAGCCCCACCCATGGAGAGATGCAGCTCTAATACTTCTACCTTCTCCTTCAGTCAGGACATCTGCAGGTATGTGACTCTCGCACTCCGGTACCTCCACCTTCTCCTTGAGAATGTGTGGCCACGTCTGTGGTATAAAAAAAAAAAAAAAAAAAAAACTTCTCCTTGAGCCGGGACATGTGTATGGACCTATCATGTGGGCTGTCACCACAACACTGCTACACTGTACAACATCACAACAGCAACATCATCACATGATCAACATCATAACAGCATACTGTCCCAAAGCCTTCCACTTGGAAAACCACTGCTACTCGTCTCGGAATTCAGTTGTCTTAGAAGGGGCACTGGGCTAATGGGGCCTTATTTCTGCATATGACCTATTTGGCTGGTTAGCAATGGCCACCATTCGACCCTGAAGCAGTATTTCTCAACCACCACCAGGGGCCACTATGATATATCAAGATCAGTGCAGGTAAGTTCCTCTTATTATTTACTTAAAGATCATCAGGACAGTTCGTCTTATCTTACTACAACCAGAACTTGAGTAAGCAGAGCTAAGGTAAGAGTAAGATGAAACCTTTCCCTATCTTCCGGAGAAGATAGGAGCCGGTCGGCCGAGCGGACAGCACGCTGGATTTGTGATCCTGTGGTCCCGGGTTCGATCCCAGGCGCCGGCGAGAAACAATGGGCAGAGTTTCTTTCACCCTATGCCCCAGTTACCTAGCAGTAAAATAGGTACCTGGGTGTTAGTCAGCTGCCAGAGTGAAACGTTGAGTGTTTGACACCAGGCGCCACCTCCCTGCCCCCCCCCCTGTCACACCACACACTTATTACAGCTGTCCATCACCCTGTCCATCACCCGTCGAGATAGACAGTTTGCCAGCGGCCCGTCCTGTGCTGCTACCCCGCTCAAGGCTCTCCTTCCTCCGCTAGTTGTTTCTGTCCACCGTATGGGGGGTATATTGACTTTACGAATTTGCGAGAACGGGTTGGGGGGGTAGAGGAGGGTTCGAAGATGAACACGCAACGCTGTAAGTGAACGCGTTCAATCCCCTTGACGTCAGATACGACTGACGTCACGAGGTCAACTGACTGTCAGTGACGTTCGAGCTCTATCGAGCCAAATTGTATTCCCAGATAATTGCATTAAAATGTAAATAAAACCAAATATGAATCTTTTTACGAAAAAATATAATTGCCAAACAAAAATCTAATTTAACTTTAGAGTTACTTGGGTGAATGTGTGTCTCCAAGGATGACTATACGTAATGTAACCTTAGACTCTACACGCCAGACAGGTCCTAAGACTCTACATGCTAGTCCTTCACTACTATGATATAGAGAAGGGGCCAAGGTGGTCCAGACTGGCTGGACTCTCCTTAGACTGTGCTTGATTTAAAGGAGTTTCTTGGCGTCACCAAGAAAGGTAATGAGACTCTTGCTCATCTTAAAGCTGTCAGACGTGAAACAATTGCCTCCTCCATCGAGAATTTAAGATCTCACGAGCACTGTGTCTACGCCGACGGCTCAGTCCAATCCTCTACTGGACGGACTGCAGCAGCATATAGGTTTTATAGAAATAATATTTACACAAAGACTGTCAGTGTCAGGTTAAACAACTGGCTGACCTCCACACAAGCAGAACTAGCAGCATTACACTTAGCAACCAGTACATTAAAAAACATTGGAGGAGGAATAATATTTTGTGATTCAAAGTCTGCTCTTCAAGCAATCGAAAACAACTTCTGGAAGATCGACAGCAAGAACCTCAAACTACCAATTATAAATGACCTAATTGATGCACAGAGTAAAGGGTTTCGAATCTCCTTTGTATGGATACCTTCACACATAAATATAACCCATCATAATGAGACAGACATTGAAGCCAAATTAGCGTGTAACAAGTCTGAAGTTGAATTAGATCTAGGTATCCCCATCCCTGCTGTCAAAACTGTATTGGTCCAAACACTCAGGTCTGATAGGAAAGAAATTACTGACTCCCAACGACCTGAAAGTACTAGTATAAAAAGTTATGATTTGTTCAGATATGAAACCTATATCTATGGACAGCATAAAACGTTCACTAGACTGTGCGACACAGTGGTTGCCAGGATCAGGTTGGGTTACCGTTACCTGTGGCAGGTGGTTACCGTTACCTGTGGCGGGTGGCTATACCGTTACCTGTGGCGGGTGGCTACCGTTACCTGTGGCGGGTGGCTATACCGTTACCTGTGGCGGGTGGCTATACCGTTACCTGTGGCAGGTGGCTACACGTGACGGGTCTCCCAATCCTGAGCACTCCAGGGGCAAACTGTGTGAGCAGGAACTGCGGCATGATCTCCCACACTACATCACCGAATGCTTTCACTGTTCACTCTCTCTGCTTTCACTGTTCACTCTCTGCTTTCACTGTTCACTCCCTCTGCTTTCACTGTTCACTCTCTCTGCTTTCACTGTTCACTCTCTCTGCTTTCCCTGTTCATTCTCTCTGCTTTCACTGTTCATTCTCACTGCCTTCACTGTTCACTCTTAAAGCTTTATTGCTGGCATAACTCTTCACTGCCTTCAATATAGTTAGGGTGGGGGCGTGGTGAGGGTGGAGGGCGTGGTGAGGGTGGGGACGTGGTGAGGGTGGGGGGCGTGGTGAGGGTGGGGGGCGTGGTGAGGGTGGGGGGCGGGGTGAGGGTGGGGGGGCGTGGGGGGGCGGGGTGGGGGCGAGGGTGGGGGCGGGGTGAGGGTGGGGGCGTGGTGAGGGTGGGGGGCGTGGTGAGGGTGGGGGGCGGGGTGAGGGTGGGGGGGTGGTGAGGGTGGGGGGCGGGGGGAGGGTGGGGGCCGGGGTGGGGGGCGGGGTGAGGGTGGGGGCCGGGGTGAGGGTGGGGGGGCGGGGTGAGGGTGGGGGCCGGGGTGAGGGTGGGGGGGGCGGGGTTAGGGTGGGGGGTGAGGGTGGGGGGGGCGGGGTGAGGGTGGGGGGCATGGTGAGGGTGGGGCGGGGTGAGGTGAGGGTGGGCTGGAGGGGGCGGAGTGAGGGTGGGGCGGGGTGAGGGTGGGGGCGTGGTGAGGGTGGGGCGGGGTGAGGGTGGGGGGCGTGGTGAGGGTGGGCTGGAGGGGGTGGAGTGAGGGTGGGGCGGGGTGAGGGTGGGGGCGTGGTGAGGGTGGGCTGGAGGGGGCGGAGTGAGGGTGGGCGGGGTTGTGGCTGGTATTGATTCCAGCATGTAGGTCATCCTCTCCCCGCCCACCCCTCTCCCTTGTCGCAGCCTCTCACGCCCACCCACGCCCACATTATGTACTCTCACACCCCTCCACACTCACACCCCCCCCTTTTTATTTTACTACAAAAACAAGGCCAATCTACTCATGAAAAACTCCCCAGACACCAAACAGAACGCCTTGAAGGAGACCAACGTCGTCTATACCTTCACATGCCCACTTGGGGACTGTAAGCCCCAAAGAACTCAGTATATAGGCAAGACAACAACGTCTCTTTCCAGGCGATTAATTATGCACAAACAGCAGGGTTCCATCAAGGAACATATAATCTCTTCTCACAATCAGTCCATCACCAGAGAAATGTTAACAAACAACACAGAAATTGATAGATACAGTGATAGATAGCAGGAGACTCGACATCAGCGAGGCACTACACATCAAAAAGTCAACACCAGCAATCAACAGCCAATTAATGCACAACTATATTCTACCCACTTCAAGACTCCGTACCAATATAGAAGCATTAAGAGGAAGTATGGGCCAATAGGCCCTTTGTAGTTCCATTCTTCCCTCTCATTTATCGAATTTATACCCATTGCACCGTGTTCTGTCTTGTGTTGGTCAAAAGTTTTGTTCACCTCATCCAAAACTGTTGCAACATATCACCTCGCCCAAAAGCGAGTATATAAGACAAGCAGTTCAATGTTAGCATTAAGTAAAACTCTGTTTAGTGTTTTCAGGTTACAGTTGTGTGTGTGTAAACTAAAGTCTTTGAAAATGTAATAAGTTATTACGAAACGCGTTCAAGCGTCGCGTCAGACTAGAAATAAAATTGAATTTTGGAGAATTGATTTTTCAATTACCATCGACAGTAAAAAGAAACATAAGAAATATTGAGAAAATTCGTGTTAGAATTATTAATCTTACTTTTTCGGTCATATTTAACAACATATGTTTACAAGAAAGACTGCTACCAATATATATATATATATATATATATATATATATATATATATATATATATATATATATATATATATATATATATATATATATATATATATATATATATATATATATATATATATATATATATATATATATAAATATATATGTCGTACCTAGTAGCCAGAACTCACTTCTCAGCCTACTATGCAAGGCCCGATTTGCCTAATAAGCCAAGTTTTCCTGAATTAATATATTTTCTATAATTTTTTCTTATGAAATGATAAAGTTACCCATTTCTCTATGTATGAGGTCAATTTTTTTATTGGAGTTAAAATTAACGTAGATATATGACCGAACCTAACCAACCCTACCTAACCTAACCTAACCTATATTTATAGGTAAGGTTAGGTTAGGTAGCCAAAAAAGCTAGGTTAGGTTAGGTTAGGTAGGTTAGGTAGACGAAAAAACATTAATTCATGAAAACCTGGCTTATTAGGCAAATCGGGCCTTGCATAGTAGGCTGAGAAGTGCGTTCTGGCTATTAGGTACGACATATATATATATATATATATATATATATATATATATATATATATATATATATATATATATACATATATATATATATATATATATATATATATATATATATACATACATATATATATATATATATATATACATATATAATATAAAATATAATATTATATGTGTGTAATCATTTAAGCACGAATCTTCACTATATTTCTCATGTTTTATTCACATGAGAAGTTGATCCTGTTAGCGTTGTCAAGGACACAGGTGGATGAGGTAGATACACACTTGCCGAGGCAACTACACACCTGCCGAGACAACTACACACCTGCCGAGACAACTACACACCTGCCGAGGCAAATACACACCTGCCGAGA